CTGCTGCCCAGCGCCCCGGCCCGGGAGGGGAAAGGGAAGCGCCGTCGTGCGGTTCCTGCCGGGGGAAGTGTCCCCAGCCCTGGCGCGGCCTTGCGGGGACAGGAGCAGAGATCCGTGGCAGCCTGTCACGCAGGTCTCGCCGCTCCTGGCAGTTCCATCTTCTCTTTTCATTGCCTTGCGATGGGGGTCGTGAGAGGGGGATCATCCCAGTCATGTCCAGCTGCTAAAAGTTTCTTTTTGCTGCGTTTTAATAACACTTATGCTCTTTTCCAACCTATATATGAATATGTTTGGTTTTTTTTTCCTCTAGGTATATTTTGAGAACCCACTTGATCCACCATGGCTTTGATTAGCCAAAAAAGTTTCCAGTTTTGTTCATCCAGCACACCAGCAAGCAGGTCCATTTTGATGACCCTAAGCAAAAGGTTGAGCTTCATCAGTGGGCAGCAAAAGCCCCAAACCTGTAGCTCCATAGCTATGAGGATGCTGTTTTTCAAAGATAAATCCCAGTATATGTTTTGTAGAAAAAACCACGTACAGCTGCGGATACAGTCTCTTTCTGTTAATGAAACAGTGCATCTTTGTGGAGATACTGAGAACAGTCCTAAATCTGATAATGGGTGGATGGTTGAACAACTATTTTTCAAAAAGTTGAAGAGCCTTTGTACATCGAAGGAGATTTTTGACTTTCTTAGGTCTCTGGAAGTCATGTCTGATACTATGGCATCAGGAGCCCTGCAGAGGATTTCTGAAGTTGAGGTGGATGACAATGGTCTAAAAAACCCTGAAGGAGTGTTAGAGAATGAAGTTTTCAGGGCATTATGCTTCCAATTTGAATTTGGATCCTCAAAACTGTCAAACACTGGGCTGCTGACTGCATTGCAAGCTTTGGTAAAATTATGCATAGATCCCCAGAGTACACTGATGGCAAGCTTGCTTTCAGAGGGTGAGGAACGGCTTGGCAAAGGACAGTTGACTGTTAAAAATCTGTGTACTCTTGGAGAGAGTTTGCTTGAGTTGGAAGGCCCAAGTTGTGCAACGCTGGAACGAATTGTGAACCACATGCAAGAAAAAGACATTGAGAAGTGGAGTCCTAGAGAAATGGTGATGGTTTATAAGATGCTGCAGGTGACTGTCAGGGAAGGGAAACATTACCAAGGCTTGCTAAACAGAATGAACAGTGTCACTTTAACCATTGTTTCCCAGCTAAGCCCAAAGTTCACAAGCATAATACTGAATTCACTGGTTGTTCTTCATCAGACTCAGGCAGTCCCTTTAGTGACAGCACTGTGTAAGCATTCTGTGAAGCATGTTCCGTATTTCACAGATGATGAACTGGTAAATGTACTGGAAGCCTTCCTATACTTTGGACATTGTGAACAAATTTTTACAGAGGCACTGGAAACACATGTTCCCAAGTCCATCTTTACTATGCATCCTCAAACAGTCAGCAAAGTCATGCAGTATTGCTGCCAAAGGATGATTCTTTCTAAGCCCATCTTTGATGCAGTGGCAGAAGGTTTCATTTGTGATCCTGACAGATTTACCACTGACCAAATTGCTGAGTGTATTATACCATTTGGGACTCTTAACTGTCTCCCTTCAAGTGCTTCTTCCTTGTTCATGAAACTTGAAACCCTACTGCATATTCACTTTAGTCAATTTCAGCCTCACACCTTGCTGAACTTGCTGCACTCCTGTGTCCTTATTCAACGTTATCCAGTAAATTTTCTGCCAAAAATATTTAGTCCCTATTTTCTGCAACAGCTTCAAGGTAAGGAGCAGTGTTTCTCTTGCTATGTTTCACGTTTTTTTTCTGTTATGGGGTGTATCTCATCTCAAAAACCCATTTGTTATCAATAACATCTGTCAAATCAACAAGGACCTGATTAAGGTGACTGGAGCAGAGTGATCAGGAGGCCAAAGATTGTTGCTTCCTTGTCACAGTTGCAGTTGTCTTTCAGTTCATATCATTTAGAGGAGTTGGAAAATTGCCCTGTACAATCGTAAAAAGAGACAGAAATTCCTTCAAATTTTTATTTCAGTTAATCCTTCTGCTTTTCTTAAAAATATTGACCTGTTTTTCCCCATGTTTGTCCTTTGCCTTATACATGTTGTAGATGCTAAGCTATTCTGTGCAGGAAATCTGGTTCTTTTAACTCTGTTTAAACTTCTTTGTGACTGATGTGAATACTCACACTGAAGTGAGACTGTGTTACTATGAGACTGGTAACACGTGGAAGGCTGGTGAGACTAGTTCTTATGGAATTAACAAGACTGAGACCAAAAGTGGTAGATTTTTTAATAATGATGATACTTGGAATAATGCATGAGTAATGTAAAATATAGTTTAGTGATTCTGGGTTCATTTTTCTCTAAATTGTTGCATTGTAATGACTGCCCCATGAGGGGTGTGCTATTAAGGTGGAACACTGGATAGTGGGTCCTGAGACTTTTATTCTGAATGTAGCCCCCCATTTTCTTTGTGGCTTTGGGAAGTCACTTCACTTTTCTGTATCTTTTGCTTCCCCCACAATTGTTTGCTTTGCTTACTTGGGTCTCATACTCCTTAGGGTTGTGACTGGCACTTAGGCATTTTACTCAGGGGCTAGCCCAGGGGCAGAAGTATTTCAAAAAACAATAGAAATACTAGTAGTACTGATTGTGAAGCTAAAATAATTGCCTTCTGCTTGTGCATTACTGCTAAGGTTTAAGTTTTCACTGCCTACCTTTTTAAGGTTAAGTCCTCTGTGACTTTGCATAATCCTTATTTCTAGATATCTTCCTAAGCATCCAAACCACTCTCTGAGGTTCTAAGGGCAAGGTACATGATCACAGTTGTCAGAAAACCTGTTCATAGCCTTTAAATTTGGGACCAAATTATAATATGCAAGAAAAGTTAAAATAACTGTTCCACAGCTTATTTAGAATTGTGTTACTAGCAAGCTCACCTATCACAACAGAAAAAATCCGTTGTTATATTTAAAAAAATTGTCTAAAAATCCTTCAAAATGTGGTCAAGATTAGTACAATTTCTAGAGAGAAGTGGGGTGTAGTATTGGGACAAAAATAATTTAAATTAGTACTATTGATAAGAACGTGTTGCAGTTATATGCGTGGAATTTGTAAATCTTAGGCAGCACAAAATGTGTTTTTCAGATACTGTTTTGCCTTATGATTCAAATAAGGTCCATTGCACGTAAGTGATTCTAGCACTTTATTCCTTACCTTCTGCCAGCCTGTGTCATGTCCAGCTTTTCAGGTGGGGGTAAGGCAGAACTTGGTATGGACTTCTGCTGTCATCTCTATTCTGTTCTTCCAGGATAAGGATTATTGTATTATTCTTGCTTCCAGTTTGGTTTTCTTTCTCTTTCATATTGTATTATAATCAGCTTGTGATGGCTGAAACGGGTAAATTGATAAAGCTGAAAAAAATTCATTTGCAGTGTATAATTGTTGGCTTAATTAAAACAGACTTGAGATCTGAACCAGTAAAATGTAACATCATAAATGTGAGCAGTTAAGGATAAGCTGGTATGTTTCTTTTAATTAACTAGTTAAAAATGTAAATTGAATTCTAAGGCTCACATATGTTTTAACAATGAATAAAGATTGGTGCTTCGTCCTGGTTTTTAAATTACTTTTAATCTAGAATCTGATGTGGTTATGTGATGCTTCTTCCCATTGGCTTCCTGTCTGCTGACTACACTCCTCTGGTGGAGGCTTCCCTGTGCCCATCTTTGTTCCATACCCTGAGATGCTTCCCTTTCCACCTCTAAGCAAGCCCTACAGTCCTATCCTTGGCCCAAGTCTTACCATACTGAGGAAAATATTTCAAAATTTAAAAATGTACTCCATGGTTTATCCCATCTTGCTTAGGAGATCTGAGAGTCTGCTCACCTGCTGCTTCCAGGACTGTCTTGTCTGCAAGGGCTGACTTTACCTAATTGTTTGGGGATTTTTTCCCAGTCTAGTAAGTTTTTAAAGCATCCCGGATGTCATACCCTGTCCTTGGCTGTAACTATTACATAATCCAACACTTTTGGTCACAGACCTTACAGTTGTAAGCTACAGATTTTAAGTAATTCTGTGTTAGATAGTAAAGCTTATTTAGTGGCATTATGGGGATATGTAAGCTATGCCAGAAAGATAAGTGACTTCACTAGATCTCAGCTAAGATTGCACTGTTAATAAAACTATATAGAAGGTCAAGTTTTCAAAGCGATTAGAAACTTTGGTCACTCAATTTTTACTGTTCAACATAAAATACGTTAAGAGGTTGATTTTTAGGAAGCAGACATATCCTAAATATCCTCATATCCTAAAAACCTCAAATGCCTTTTAAAGTGCTCAAGCTAATACTTCAAAAACGAGAAACCTCATAGTACCAGTTACTTTGGATATGTTCTTTTAAATCAGTATAAAGGTGTTCCACTAGATGGGTCAAAGTTCAGAACAGGAACTTGAGAAGATGACCTGCATGATTAGCATCTTATACTACATCAGGATTTTACCGTTCTGTAATAATACTTGGCACATAACATGAAAGATTCTTCAAGTATACATTTGTAGACAAATCTCCAGAAATTATTTAGTATTATCTGCTACTTTCAGATTAAAAAAAAATAATAATCTAAAGCGAAACAATGAGATCCTGGGATTACAATTTGGGAGAGCGGGTTGTGGGAAGGAGGTAATGGGATATTTCTCCAAGACTCAATTCAAACTTATTCCTCCTTGTAGAACATCCTGCATCTATCAGATCCTCATTTTTCTGTGAGGGTATGACAGTCCTAACTAAGATCTTGCTAGTTGTATATACTTTTTTTATGTTGATGGTGTTTCTGTAAATAATTTCCTCCTTTTTCTAACTATGTCATTTCACTACTCATCTTTCTGTTCATTCAAACAGCAATCAAAGATGACAATGATCAAGTGCCTTCTCGGTGTGTTAAACTTCTCCTAACTTCTGCATGATGGTTTGTGTAGATACTTTGTTGAAGGTATACCTGAAAGCTGAATATTTTTGTTTCAGCTCAGCCACCTGGTTTGGACAGAATTGTTACCTCCAAGCTAACCCAACTTTTTCTGACTGTTACCCTGGAGTGCCCATTTTATGAGGTATGGTACATACAAAACCAGAACTGATGGCAGCAAGAGGTGATAAGGTCATTAAGGCCCTGTTAATAATTAGTTGAAGACTGTCTTTCCTTTCAAAACACTGGAATTGGATGAAACAGCTTTTTTTTTCCCTTGATGAAAATATGAAGCATTTCTGCTTGTTTGATTGACTGGATATATTTGTATGTTTGACAGAATTGATTAGCTCTAAGTCTTTCTGAGTATTTACAGGTACTTTTCCAACAACTATTCCTTTTTTTATATTTGACTTGTGACATCTTGGAGGACAAAAGAGTTCAGGCACTTTGCTGTTGGCCTGACTGCAGAGGAATGGAAACAGTTGTGCATTTCTCATGAGCTATAACATAACGTTCAGCATGATCATGTGGAAGCTTGCTCAGGATATTCTAGTGGTTGGGGTTTTTTTGTTTGTTTTGTTGGTTTTTTTAAGTTTCTAGCAGATCATACCTCAGACTGTAAGTTTCTCAATAGACATGGCTTTGAAATGCACAGGATAAATTTTGCTACCTTAATATGAGGTAATAGCAAAAATATTTTTTCTCTTTTTCTTTGATTTGGTTTTCTGTCATTATGTAGGGTCCAAAACTCCTTCCAAAATATCAAGTAAAGGCCTTTCTCGCACCTCACGGTTCCCTGGATGTTCACCTCCTCAAAAGGGTGAAGGCTGGATTACTTCACTTACTGAAAAAAAGAATATATTTTGCATCAGAGGTTTCAACACCGTATTTCTATACAGTTGGTAAGTAACATTTCTTTAGATTAGTAATAAAACATGTACTTATGCTGTCAAAACTTCAGGCTCAGTTATTTTCCAGAAATAAAAATGATTTATTCCCTTTGTGTGCATTCTATGTTGTGCAAATATGGAAAAAGTAAACTGGAATACAAACCCCTGTAGAACGTCTGAAATGAGGAAACATTATGGGAACTTTAAGTAAATGCATTTTCAAAGTGAGAAAGAAGAACAGGGAGACAAAAGAACTGCAGTAGTAGTTGGAAGTTACACAGCCAGTCGTCACTGAAAATAGCTGTTAACTCTTGTATTCTGTATTTTTAGTATCAGCTTCCCTTTTACTTATCCTGTAAACAATTTGTATAATGTAAAGCAAAATGAGGCAGTGCCACTGGCCTGATCTCTGCTTTGGTGGTGAGTAGAGAAGGGGAGGGCTGGAAGGTTGTCAGCCCTCTGCCCCGCTCAGCTGGTTTCTTCTCACCTTAACAAGAACTGTTGACTATATATACAGTGGGGGTTTGTGGACTGAAAGAGACGAGTGGGCAAAACAGTGTTTCGAGCGCAAGGAGAGCAAACTGAGAGAAGGTAATGATGAGGAAAGATGTGTGCCCAGGAGGGGTGGAGGATAAAGAAGGTGTTAAGGGAAGGGTCTTCTGGACCCCGTGGACATCATAAGGTTAAAAGAAAAAAAAAAGAGAGAGGGATGACTTCAGAATTACTCTGCATTTCAGCTTCCACATGAGGTTGAAGTTGGCATGGTGTAGGTCCCAAGCTCTGTTTGCAGATTGACATAATCTATAAAATTAGGGAATTAGTGAGAAAAATAAAAGGCGGGGCAGGGGGGAAGTGTGTTTCCCCAAAGCTGTCAAAATTACAGAGGCTATAGCCAGCCCAGCAAAGTGCCATTTAACTACATTATGGTTTTTAGTGGACTTCAAATACTACTTTGCTGTTAGCATTATGAAAGGCTGAAGTGTTACTAATTATCACCCATAAGTCTGAAGTGCTACGAATTATCACCCATTTGTGTTAATTAGTCTGTACACATCTTTTGCAAGACTCTGTGATTGAGAAAAAGTATTACAGTAGTATTTTAGTTATTTTATAAAACAATGAACTGTAAGAGGATGAGAATTATAGTAAACAATTATATGAAATGAGTTTTAATGTCACTTCTCTTCTTCTATACTAGATATTGAGATTAAATTAGATGAAGAAGGTTTTGTATTGCCTGCTGCCCAATGTGAAGAGGTACATAGACGGTAAGAGAATAAAAGAAATCACTGGTAAAATGTTAACATTGACAAAAAGCATCCAAGGTTAAACCCCAGCAAAAACTGGAGCTTTGCCATTGACATCAATAAAACTAAGGTTTCACATTGAAACCACTGACAAAAATACAAAGTTGGCAAAAGTGAAATTGGCAAAATTAATGTTCCGCACTTTTTCCTTGTTATTTTGCCTCCTAACTATAGTGTCAGAAAACTAGTCTCTTTACTCAGTGACAGTCAGGATCAAAATGATCCTGATTTGGCTTATAGTAATGCACTTTGATCTTCTGTAATTCATTTTCAAATTAAAACCAAATTAATTCTAATTGAGTGTGTCCGCATAGATTTAACACAGTGTAAGACAGCTTGAGTTCACTAATTTACTTCTGTAAGGAACCCTGTGCAATGAGGATATTTGTTACAGATGCTGTTTTATTGAAAAAAGGAAAGTGTTTAAAAAATATGTTGAACAAGGATTATTTTGGGAAACCTTGGATACAAAGTTAAGCAATCTGCCTGTGTGGTATTTGCAACTGCACTTCTGTGGATAAAGTAAAAGTCTGTGAAAAGGTTGTGCTTTCTCCAGCTTAACCTTCACAAGACTCACAGACTAATATAGGTTCTTTCAAAAATCCCATGCTTAAATGTTTAAGAATGGGCTTTGATTTTTTTTTAAAGTTACAGCTTTCATGTGTAAATAAGGTCACAATATAATTAACATACTGAAAATTAAAGCAACTTTTTTTTACAGTGGATATACAAAGCAGCTTACCAATCAATAGTAGCATTAAAAATATCAAACTCTTACTAACTTGTATGGTAATTTTTGTTCAGAGCATATAAATAACCTTTTCAGATAAGTTTCACTAAGCTTCAGGCGTTCGCCCTCCCACCCTTATATTGAGTGATTTAATTTGTTCTGAACTAGGTGACTCCCATCCTACGTGATCTAATTCTAGGAGGTATTAGGGGGTAAGAGGGGAGGTATTCTCATGCTGCTTGGGAACTACAGTGGTTGTGGTGATTACAATAATTGAGTTTTTTTGATACTGTACTTGTGCTTGATTTTAGAATTGCCCTCTGTGTTGATGGTCAAAATAGATTTTGTGTTAATAGCCACAATCTGTTGGGAGAAGAAGCTATTAAACAGAGACATCTTCAGTTACTTGGTTATGAAGTTGTGCAGGTAAAGTCCAAAGACAGTGGTTTGCTTTTCCTCTGGCTAACCAAACAAGTGAAAAATTATTATTTTATAATGCTTAAAACTGTCGTTGCAATTACTTCCCAAGGCAGATGTAGTTTTGTCCTTTCTATATTATCTTCCCTCTGCCTAGCTTTTGCCTTTTTGAGGGTGTTACAGACATTCCTTTTTCTTCCACTGATCAATTAGCGTATTCTGTCTGTGTTTTCTGACAAATAGGCACTGCTTGAAGGAGTATTTCTCTGCAGTGATTAAGGTTCCAGTCTTGACTTAAAGGAAAACGTTGTCTAGGAGTTCAGAACTGGGATTTTTAATTACATATTTTTTTTAAAAGGGCCGCGTTTGGAGTTTAAAAAGAGTTAAGAAAAAGAGAAACTGCTTTGTATTGTAAATGTTTTCACATCAGAGTGTATCCAATACTTTGCATGTTGAATTAATAGGGGTATTTTTATCTTTAAACATACTTTGGACCAAAACAGTTACTTTTAGATGTTTGATATTTTCTTTTCCATTTTCTTTTCTTTTTCAAGCCTAACTCTGTTATATATAAATTAGTTTAAACTGTAATGGATATGACTTTATAGAATCATAGAATGGTTAGGATTGGAGAGGACCTTCAAGGTCATCGAGTTACAACCCCCCTGCTGCGGGCAGGGATACCTTCTACTAGATCAGGTTGCTCAAAGCCTCATCCAGCCTGGCCTTTGTTTTACAATAATCTGTATTTGCAGATCAATAATATGGTTAGGATTAAATATGTAATTTTAAAACAGACAAATCTTTGATGTGTAATTTTGCATCCGGTTAATGAACATCAGTCTTACCGTTTCTTTATTAAAAGGTATTTCCAGCAATCGTTTTTGTTTTGTTTCCAGATTCCATTTTTTGAGATAGAGAGTCTACAAAATTGCAGAAAAATGGCAGAATATCTACGCAAAAAAATCTTTCCTCATATAGACAGACTCAGCTGCTGACACCGGCATATACTACTAAATCACAGGTTGACCTCCTGTATTATAAAGTACAAATATTGTGCATGGAAGAATAATTCTGTTTTCTAAATAAATCCTAAGATAATTTGAGCTTCTGAATGTGAGACCTTCCAATATTTGGAACAATTGACATGTAAAGAGCAATAAAGAGCAACATATTTTTGTAAGTTTTGTGTAAATATTTATTATAAGTTAACAGATGTAAGTGCCAGACAGTCAGTGCTGCGTTTCCTTTGTATTTTCACTGGTTCTAACTCACAATTGCAAATGGACAGATGTGACTATTCAAGGATACTGCCTGGTGCTGAATGTACAGAATGTGGCATACTACCTACTAATCAGGGCTTTTCTTGACAGTATAAAAAGAAATTGTGCAGTTTACTCATAGCTCTTTGTGTGATTTCCCAAGTGTTTCATAAAACTACAATTTGCAGTAGTTGCACAAGCAGTATTGGCTTATTGCTCATACTTAGGACATGTAGAGTGTTTTTCACTAAATAGCAATGCCTTACACAAAATGAGTTTTTATAGAAAGATTCACTTTAAAAGAGCAGCTGCCACAGGGTCATGGACTTGCACAGCTGCTGCTGGGGGGGCCACCCTAGGTTCTGGGTATGTGCTATTTGTAGCTTTGTCTTTGGTGGCAGCTTCAGCTAAACTGGCTAAATGGGGTCATGTGTGCGCCCCAGAGTTCTTTCAGTTTACAGCCTGCCATTCGAGCCTCACCTGAAATTCATTATTCCCTGAAGCTCAGAAGAACTATGTCCTATGCAGTCCTTTTTTTTTTTTATGTAGGAGCATAAATTCTGGCAGAAGGGTGGAAAACAGAACCGGAATCAGTAACCACTTTAGACGGAACAGGTGTGCCCTAACTTGGGTCAACGTATTGCATTACACGTGGATAAAGGCCTTAGTTCCGATCACATAATGTGTATTTGATGAACTGCCATGTAAAACACATTTTCAGGTTAGCTTGTGCATCCTGTCCTGTGTGGAATTGTTATTTATGAGTAGCAAAGCAGAATTCCCAGCATCACCAGGTTTGATTTTAACTATTATGATTTGACAGAAAAAAGGTGAAACTTTTACATCTTTGAAGTTCTATATATTTTACCAGTTGATACAGAAAGTGGCAATTTTTTCCTTCCAAGGTTACAGTTAATAATTTGTGAGTTGCAGGTGTCTGTCAGTTGTCCCAACAATCCCTGGAGATTTCTGGATGCAAAATCCAGATCCAAATACCTAGTGTCATGCTGTGCATTCTGTTCATGTTAATTTGTTGCATGTATAAAACCCCTACTCACAGTAGTATGTCAGCACTGACAGGTGAGGGAGTACCAAGAGGTAATGAGATACTTTCCAACAGTGTAATAGGAAGCTTACAGCACATCAGTAACCTAACAGCTGTCATCCTAGCAGAAGAGAAATTAGAAGTGAAGGAGAACAACTGAAATGTCTTTGCAGACATTTGTAAGGAACTTCTCCCTAGTAAAGAAGAAATCATCAAGGTATTATTTTAACACTAGCCGAGCACTGAAGGGAGAAGTCAACCACTCAGAACTGAATGTGAAACAAGTAGTAGGAGGAACAACCTGTGAAAAGCCTTCAAAAGTGAGGAGGGATGAGAAGGGACTGAAAGAGAAAGGGATGACACAAGCAAAGAAATGAGAGGCAAACTGATACTAGTGTCAGTGACTCATGCCTTTCTCCATGGTGGAAGTGAGCTGGTGATGCTTATTTCTCAGTAAAGCCAGAAGGTGGTGGTGTTCTCAAACAGATTAGATTTCCCCTAGTTTTTGAAACACAGATAGTTTGTAAATATAGTAAGACAACTTGAAAGATGTAATTTGTACTGACTGGCCCAAACTAAAAATAACCTGTCTAGAATATGATCATATTCCTTCTCATTCTTCACTGGTATACATTTGATACTGATTTTTGAAAAAAGCATTCTGGTATCGTTACAAAACATTTCCTTCTCACTTTGTTCTTACTGTGATTCATTTAATGCTGCTGGATTTGTTTAACAATTTATTTATTATTGAAAAGGAATGTAGCAGTTACTGCCCTCTTGTCCCTCACGCATTGAATATAGAGGAACTTGCAGGACATGAATAATGAAAGTAATAAACACCTCTTGGAATGGGCTGCTCTGCGCTCTGCTTCTCATATTATGCCAAACAAGGGCTATTGATTGTCTTATTTGCTACTTATCCAGGCCCAGATTAAGAAGTTCTTTGTTTTTATTATTTTTTACTAGGAGACTCACTGTATTGACAAATGATAGAGGTTTCCTATGTGTAAGTAAGTACCTGACAGAACTCTAGTGTCAGTCAAAGCTGTGGACTTCCAGTCCTTCTGATATGATCAGTCTGGCTGTTGTCCCTTTCTGAACAATACTGCCTGAGCTTTAAACAACAGCAGAATCAATGGCTCTTGAGAACCAAACTGATGCATTCCATGCAGAAGATATTCCTTCTCCTGAAATTACCCTATAACTTTAGTACTGGATTTAGTGAGAGTACAAGGCACTAAATGTTTAAGCAGGTTTAGACATTTACACTAAACCTGCCTTTTAAATGACTGCTGCTCACATTCTTGTGGTTTTTTTCATGCTTTCTACCAAACCACTTAGTGCTTGTTCTCCCAGTATTACCTTTTTCTTTCTTTCTTTCAGCATTGGATACAGAACCAAAGATGATTTTTCTTGTGACACTCTTGAACAGATCAATCCCTCAGACACCATTTGTATAGTGAAAGCCAGCAAAATGGATGTCTATTTAAATGCTAAGTACTCAGAAATTCCCTTAAACTTGACTTCCACTTGAAGTCTACTGAAACTGCTAAGCACTTCTCCAAGTCAGATCATTAACTTACTTGCCCATTTATGGGCAAGCTCATCCGTTTTGGAAAATCTGTGTTGAATCTCTGTTTCAGCTGTTGTGCAGATAAAATAACACCTAGCAATTTTGTAGCAACACTGTAAGGATTAAGAAGCCAGTGACTACGGATACCTTGAGGAGCAAGCTCGCTTAAATGTTAAGTCTGTGAATAGTTATGTAGAACCTTTTGTTGATCCAAAAGGTCTCATTTCCAGTTTTGCTACCTAAAATGTTCAGTTCTTGCTAATGCTCTTCATGAGATTTTTATGGGACTGTAAGGAGAAGATATGCATTGAAGTAGCATGAAGAAAAGTACAGCTGCTATTTCATCCTATTTTTAATCCAAATCATTCTCATTAACTAAAATATAGAGGAAAAGGCAAAAGCACCACATTGCTTTTTGATGCGAGGTCGGGTTTTTTCCACATAAGTGTTGCTGGTAATGACAGGTACAGGAGATTTAGCATGGATCCAGGCTTGGAGAAGGTTTTTCCAATAAGCATGTGATGCCATTTTTCCTGTAGAATTCTGCCTGCACATGATTAATCCTTGCATAACCTCTGATCGGCTGCTCCATGGGCTTATTTAAGTGTCTCCCGTACTCTGAAGATGACAAAACAGCAACAGTTCTTGCCATTTCCTGTGAAAAAATAAAATTCTCTTTATAAGAAAATCACAGACCGCCTACTTGGCAGTTATCTACTGTTAAATGTGCTGTGGCCAGGGGCAAAATAACAGACAGAACTGTACAGCATCTGCTATATGGATGTATATTTATTTAGCAGTGATCTGCACTTTTACTGTTCCATCCCTGACCTAATTTTTTATGTATATTAATAAACCATGAATGTATCACTAGATGACAAAATGATAGGATATGGAGCTGTGCCATGAGTTACTGTGGACTGATATATTTTTATGCACACACACACAGGTGATTACCATGTGGTTACTGCAAACCAAATCCTATGTTACTGGAAAGTGGCACAGATTTTATTTTCATTCTTATTTTTCTTGTGCACTGACTTGCATGATTCATTTGAAAAACAGGAGAGATTTGTTTCCCCTGTTACAGGAACACCTACCTGGCTTGCACAATTCAGTGAAACCACTGCATGAAAAAAATCAAAGCCTGAAAAAAACCTGAGCAACCACTAGTCCATGCAAGCTTTCCCTGAAGGACATAGAGTGTACACTATTGTATTTTTGCACAGTGAAAGGTTTTACCAAAAATGCTTGTAGCTGTAAGATTACAGAAATAACTGCTCTACAGTGATGGGAAGTGAACTTGGTGAAAAATAACCGGACCAAGAAAAGATTATTTTAAGCTTGTTCTTGATAAACTGCACTTTAAGTGACTCTGAAATCACTATCTGCAATCTGCAGTTCCTTCCTGTGCTACAGCAATGGGGAGCTCTGGAGTCAGAAGGGAAAGACAGGATTTGTTTGTTTTTCTTTCTCTAGCCAAAGGTCTCAGATTTATCAGGCTGCTTCTATGTTTGCTTACTCACTAATACAGTAAGCCTTGGTCCCCAATGTGTTTACCAAGTCTTACAATATAAATAATATCTACAAGGAGAATCAAAATGCAAAAGCCACACCACAGTTCTGGTGCAAACAAATTACTCCTTTGCTACAATAGATGCAAGTCTGAGCTGTATCAGCACTTACAATAGAACCTGTGAAGCGCATGAGCCGTTACATTTCCTCTGAGGATGCAGGGGGGAGCACCGATCTATGGAGTCTCATAGCAGGGCAGTCAGATGTGTGAGACATTACCAGAATCATGGTCAAAAGTAGACCTGAGATTCTTGGGAAGATGCTGCAAACTCATTTAAAAACAAAACAAAACAAAACAACACAAAAAACCCCAAAAAACAAAAACAAAAAAACCTAAAAAAACCCCCAAAAACTAAAAACAAAAAACCAGAAAAGCCCACTCCAGAATAACCATTCATCCCCTAACTGTCCCCCTGCCCTTCCTGCCTACCTTGCTCCATCTCATTAAAAGCTATTCAGCACACCAACTTAGAGCCCCACCAGAACAAAAATCAAGTCAAACAGAGTGGCAACCAAAAATAAGACCATTTCCTTCCCACTCACAGTTGTGGATAAATGTTGAAAAAGGAGAAATGACAGAATCTTTGTACCATCAAGAAAGACTTTGCTAGTGACACAGGGTTTACAGTGCTAACGATGGGCAGCAGTATGTAATTCTGATAGTCGGTGTTCCCTTTAAGTAAATAAGATTCAGTTTTCAGCATCCTTGGAAGCACAGCGCTGACTGTGCACAGTGGCATTTTGTCTTTGTGGGTTCGGCATTCAGCAGATTTCAGATTTTCCAACAGTTGGCTGGGAAGCGTCCCGCTACACACCTTCGCAGTGTCTAATTCTAGCACTGTTAATGCTTGAAATCAGCAATGGCAGCCTTATGCAAACACTCCGCTGCACTCACTGTGCTACATGTAGCTCGACCGAGTATCTGTGACCGTGCTGTTGGATTCCCTGGGTTCACCCAGGCTCTCTGCAGGAAATGAAGGGCTTACTTGCAGTGGTTCAGTTTTCTCCACTTCAACAAAAGGAGTGTACTGTGGTGGGTTCAGCCTGTCCCCTTTCAGTGATGTACTGGAAAGACATTGATTGTGGCCTTTTTGTTTATTATGTTTTTATAATATAGTTATTATTATATAAAGTCTGTGAGGGCCACTGAGGTAACTGAAGAGCAGGAGTATGTGACATTGCACTTAGTAATGGGCAAGTCCAGTGTTGGGTGTCATCATGTGCAGGAGAGGAGGATCATGTTGTAACATTTAGCAGCTGTGGGTTTGATGTGTCTCCATGCTAATTAAAGGGCTGGATTAAGGGACAGCTGTCCAGGCAGAGTCCCTTCTGTGCACTGCCCAGCAGAGCTGGTATGAATTCTGGCTCATACATGTTTGCTTTAGGAAGCAAACTGGTAAGAAAGTGAGTTTTGCTGATACCGAAAGAACACAAGAGCTCAGTAAGAAACCTTAACTCTGCATTGATAAACTGTTTCTACACAAATTTCCCAGCTGGAGGTTGGGCTTGTTATTAGGGGAGGGGGATCAGCTTTGTTTTGTTTAAATAAAAAGGCTAATTTTTTCATTGGAGCAGTCATTTACATGGCTTTTGGCCTCACAGATTTGCAGTTAAGTTACCAAGCATGAGCAGGTGATGATAACGAGCACTCCTGGGACTCCTTTGGGAGCACCTAACACTCCCTGCCCTGTCTGGTTGAGTTAAAGGGTATTACAGCTATGCACTGGCATATATAGCTGCTAGTGAGAGGAATCACAAGCAGTGGCCTTTTGTCCCAAAATCTTAACAGTTCTATTACACAGCAATTATGGTTAGTTTAACCTTTCTCTCTCTCTTCCTCCTCCTATCTCTATCATATGTAATCACCAACAAGGGCAGCCATTCGTAGCCCACCCATCTCTTTACATCCCATGAACCCATTGGGATTTTGAGGCCATTAATACACAGAGGTTGTACTTCATGTGGTTTTTGACAGCCTCTTCCTGTGTGAATGTGCATATAAATATATATACACACACACTTGTGTATGCATGTGTATTCAGATGTTGCATGGAAAAAAATACATTTATATATATGTATATATATTATAGTGTTTCTGTTTTCAAGGCAGCTATCAAGCTGCCAGATTCTGCTGGTCTTGAATGCTTTGCCCAGCCTTTTCCAGGCATGTCCTTGGTCTTCTGATTGACCCCTCCTTTGCTCTAGTTCCTGATGAATTCCCTTCCTGCAGGGCAATCTGCTGTAAGTTTGCATAACAAACTCACCAGCTTCAGAGACTTGGGCTGTCTGAGAAACGCTGGCATAAGGAGGGTGGATGTCAGAGGGCAGTGACTGGGTTGGGGCTCCTGAATCCAGTCCTCTCAGGGAGAAGAGTTTTCAAGCATCACAGAAACAGCTGCAGGACCACCTGAACTGAAACTCTTGAGGGCCACAGACAGTTCAGAAGTCACTCAGTGACCCTGAAGCTCTGTAACAGAGGTTTTGCCTTGCTGTGTGTGTCTTTCACTATGCTTTAACTTGCTTGTGAGCAAGAAATCTACAGGATTGTCAAAGAGCACGAGCCAACTAAGGTGTCTTCACTGGCTAATGCTTTCTCCTAAACTGCCAGGCTGAGGACAATTATATCCTCCTTCCGATTCCTTTGACACCACATAGGCTACATTATAATGGGTAAAACAATGGCTACAGTCTCCCGCCATGTCAAAAAGTACAAAATACCTTTAACAAAGATAATTACAAAATTATCAAAGGGTTACCTCCTCATTAATGTTAAGACCACGACTCTTTGAGTGTTCTCTGTCACATCGGTGAAGACTTTTGTTGTAACCCTCTGGTCTTTTAAAAATGGAATCATAAGTGGAAACATCTCCTGTCTTGAGAAAAGGGGGAAAAGTGGCTAATTTGCAGTATTGCTTAACTTTACAGGTTACAGAATATACATAGTTGAATCAATACTTAATAACAGTGCACATATAGCATTAGATGATAGCAACTGTAATATTACTCAGCTACCATTAGCAAGCTTTGGTCACTCCTTTGGAATAGTCTGTAATAAAAACACTTAATGATGTGTGGGTACCTTTTTAAAAAGTCTCTTCAGCTCTGAGATTTTCCTTGTGGCAATTTACCTAATTTTTTCCTGAAATCAGCTGAAACTTTTGGAAATTCAACTGCTTTTTTTGTTTTACTTTGCTGAACTTTGTATTTTCCTTCTTACGTTCATACCTTTGTCAAATGATCTGGCACTGTAATGTAAAAGGAAAGCAGGCAGTTTCAGAATTCATTTGGAATGAAAAAGACAAAGGTATCCTGCAGTGGAATCACCATTTAATTTCTGATTAAAGGAGAATTGAGAAGAGTTCAGAAACACTCCGCAGTGTAATCCTGTGATCCAGTATTACGTATGTATCTTTCACGTATGAAAATACAGCACACCTCCAGCCAGAATATTATTGTATTTGTGATACCTGTTGACATAGTTGCATCCAAATAAACAACATTAAAGATCTGATCTACTAACAAATGCATTTGTGAAATCCAATCAAGAAGTTCTCATCAATGGAATCAAAGGAATTTCAAAAACAAAAATAGTTTTCAAGGAAAGAAAAAGCAAAGACTTCTGTTAAAATATGCTGTCAGTTGTTAATGAACTTCATTAAAAGTTCCCTATTATGGTAAACATGTCAATCCATCACTGGTTTTGTGCCCAGATGACTACAAATTTGTAAAATTGTGCATTCTGTTGGGCTTTTTTTTTACCTCTAATTTTACAATGTGCCCAATTTAGCCTTTGAAAAACTCCTGTATTTTAAGTCTTACAATTTACAATGCTATCCTCCAAAATAGCCAAGTCGGGGCAGGTCAAGAAGGCTATAATGGTCCCATTAAAAGGAAACCATAGGTAAGAGCACTAGTGAGGCACTGCTGCAATCACAGGCTTCTTTTGGAAGGGTATCTCCATTACTTGGTTCTGCCAAGAGGAGAGGTGGTTTGATACTTAACCTATCCATTCCTTCATTTCTCAGAAACTATCAAGCCTCACAGAATTTCAGGCATGTTCAAGAGCTTCCTGCAACTGCATCCATTATTATTTCTGTGCTTCCTTGCTTCTCCTTTCCTCCCCATGCTACCAGTTTCATTCAGAATTTTAGTGAGCATCTAATTTGTGCTCACCACCAGGAATGTTATTTGCTCCTTTGTTTCTGTGCACGTGGCATTATTTGTCCATTACTTGTTACCTGTGTCAGAGCAGATAATTCATTTTTTCTGGAACTTGCAGATCGGTGGCCAGCCTGCTATGTTAAAAACTAGCCCTGGCCCAGATGATCTGTTTAAGATCTTCTCCCATGTGTGTAGAGGCAACACTTCTGTGCTCATTATACTGATAACTTTTTGCTGTTGTTTCTCTTTGTTGTTAAACACTGACTTAGTTGGCCTAGACGGTGGTGGCAGGGAGCTGTTTCTTAAACCCATCAGAGCAAGTGAATCACCCAGAGCAGGCAATAACTTTGCACTCAGGGTGGGCATCCTCTGTGTACTGCTAATAAAGCTAAGCACTTTGCAAACATTCATTAATATTTCAGACACACATAAAAATGGGTAATAGCTTTCTCCATGTCACAGAAGAGGAAACACCACGCAAAATGGCTACAGTAAGTAAAGCAATCGAGGGAGCAAGTGTCAGCCAACGTATTACAAGGCAGGAATTTCTGGCTTCTGGCCATCTGCTGAGCACATCTTCCTCTTATTTCTCTCTGCTTCAGTCTCTGATACACAGTTGGTTTTAGGTACTGAAGCTGCAAAAAAGGAAAAAAAATTATTTTTCCTTTATAAATAAAAAAATTCAAATTATCTAATTCCTCAATTGTGCAGAAGAATGGGTTGAATCTGCTTCCTCCCCTGTGGCCGAGGCCTGCACTGTGAAGAAACCTATTAAACAGCTGTTATCACTTTTTGTTTCCATGCCGCTGGAACAGCATTCTCCACAAACCAGCTCATTGGGAGTGTGAAAGCAGACTTTATATTGTAAGCAAAAGCTTGAAGGTATGGTTGCTAATTCCATGTAGATTGGATACACTGTGAGCTCCACCAGCCCCCAGTGCACTATGCCAGCCCTCTGACCTGCCCTAGCCTTGCTCTGGTTGTGCTCTCCATACCGTGTTGTGCTAAGCATGGCACCAACTGTGCCCGCTCACCTTTGGGCCAGAGCACACTCCCAAGGTAACACTGAAATCACCACAAAAGAGTCTGAAATTACAAATCTACCTGTCTTTTAGCAGAGCCACCCAGTCAATGCTGGGAATTGGTTTTGCTGTTCCTTTAATGCCCAGCACTGTGCTGGGGTCTGCACCTTGCCCACATCCCAGGGCCACAGGACCTGCAAACTCTCACAGGTCACCAGTTGTCGCTGCCCAGTGCTCTGCACATTCAGCAGCCTGTCACTTGGGTGGGGAGGGGATTCACAGGGTGTATTTATAATTAAAAATAACTATATGTTGCCATAATATTGCTATATTTCATTGATATAATAGACCTTTCAGAACTTTTTAATTTTTTTTTGGGGGGGGGCATTAAGTTCAATGTCTCATATGACTCTTTTCAGAGAGGAAGAGGTTTTCTACCCAGGCAGTATAGCCCAGCTGAGGCTGAAGGTGTAAGATTAATTTCTGATTTTAAACATGAGGACAGAGAGAATGAGGAAAAAGGGTGATATAACGCAGCAGAGAGTGAGAGGTGAGGCTCCCTGTTTATTAGTTACTACATTAAGTGTCAGTGTAACACCTTCAGAGAAGCATTAAGTTATCAAGGCATACACGATGTTATTGTATTGAGTAGCTCTCTTGATTTGCTTTATTAAAGCTGAGCATACAGAAAATGTGTGTGATGTGCGTGGTGCACATTGGAAACCTTTTCCCTCGACTGAAAATGGAGCAGCTTCTTATTAAAGGGTCCCCAAGAGTGTTACCAGAAAACACACAGGTGCCGCATCCAACCCTAGTGACAGAGAATGCCTTTCCTAGCATTCCCCCTAAAGGTGTCCCACATTTTGGTGATACCATGTAGCCTGTTGGTCCTCAATCCTTGGCAAACCATGTCTCTGCCGTCTCTTGCCATCCAGTGTAAGCCATTACCCCCCTGTTCCATCCACAAGTAGCAAACACCTGTTACACTCTGCAAAGGCCTCGGAAGACAAACCCTGCTACGTAGGCATTAGATAGCCTAGACAGCGGCTAAAGCACAGCGCTTCTGCTTGCCTTACAAATACTAACGGGATTTTTAGGCACCCGCCTGAGCAGGCCCCTCACAATTAGGGTCAAGCACTCCCACAGGGGCCACGCGCAATGTTGTTACGCTGCGTGGAAACCCACGGGGAAGTCTTGTCCCTCCAGCCCCGCTCCCGCCCTTCCCTTCCTCACCTTGGCCTCCCGGTTGAAATAGCTGAGCTCCGCAGGCCCCACCCGCCTGGCCAGGATTCGGCT